CTATGAGCTCCAGATACAGCAGTTACGATACTGGCAGGAGTTCCCGGGGGTCTGGGCGATCTTATGATACATCTTATACCTCTTCCAGGGGGACTGAGCCTCTGTCCTCCGCTTCCAGGTCAAAGTAAGTTATCTGTTAGGACATTTAGACAGTTTTATCTGTTGTAGACTTGCTTTAGAATTTATAAATGACTGGGTATATATTTTTATAGTAAACTTTCATCAAGTCTTAAACATTTTCTTTTTTTGCACATATAGGAATATTTCACTGGTTTTTGCCAAAATTTCATTGCCTTAGTTTGTTTCTGTTTAAGCCAATCCCTGGATAGTTTACAGCAATAAAGAAAACTAATATAGAAAACTTTTTATTATTATAGCAAAGTAAAAATACAGCTTTTCCTATCATCTTACCTTGTGCTCTTATATAATGCAATATTTGACTATTGAAAAAGAATCGGATAGGAATTGGTTAAGTTGCAACAAGTATTTTGGATTAGAGCTACAAACCAAAAAAATGCTTCAGTGTGTCACCCATTTTTTAATAAAGAAAATAAGCCTGACACCTGAATATAATTAGCCATTAGATGATTAGGTTCATACATATATTGTAACAGGTAAAGCTAGCTTCTCATGCTAGATTTATATTACAGCCCTTACAAACAAAGGTAAATTTTTTAAATACAAGAATGGATATTATGCCACAGTGAAATGTTTTTAAAATTGCAACACAAATATCTTTAGACATGCTATAATTCTTATTTTGGATGACTAATGCAGAATTTTATATTATTATAATATGACGTGACAAATATGTTGCAGAAACATAAAGAAACTTAGGATATTTTCCCCGCCTGTCTAATCTCACCAATTATCCTCAAAATTGCACCATTTACCTTATGATGTTACAAGCTGTACAAAAAGTGTGACCTATTATTAGGAGAGAAGTACAAGTAAAGTCTGGGTAAATGGCTTATCCTCAGCCAACCTAGATATGGGTAAAAGGTCAGTTCACATCAGGTGTAACTTAGCCTCTTTCAAGTACCAGGTGTCCTTATTGTTGAGATCTACAGAGCCTACAGAGGTAAACATTTTTGCATGGAATAAAGCAAGTTTTATAACTGATTGGAATTATGTGACTTGAAATGCCTTGTATCAAGTACATAACCTTTAAAAGATGTTAAAGAAAGAAGGTTATAATTACCAAAGAATGGTGAAATTTGGTTTGGATAACTGCAATAAAAATTTGGATCTAGTGTTTGAAAGTACAAAAATAGATTTGATTGGGTATAAAGTAAAAAGTTTCAAATGGAAGATAAATAATTGGTATGTTAGGCACTTTGCACTAATGATTTAGGGTTTTGAGACTGTGTTTGGGGAGCCATATTTGATGTGTTAATGCAGTGACTTATTCAAACCAAGTGGTATTTAAGTTGGAAATGATGTGAAAGGGTCCAGAATACCTGTGTTCACAGAATCTAGCAGTCTTGTCTGACAGTAAGGGAGCTTCTTGTGGTGATAGTAATGATGTTCACAGGTGTAACCCTGATATGGTGCCAAGCTGGGGTACTGTAATTGTGACTTTCTTGTTTCCATTTATACACTATCACAGGTATATTTAACATGGAGCAAATATGTTTGTGTTTGGTTTTGCCCAACAAACAGAGTTTTGTGTAGCAATTTTTTTATTGTTGCCTTTGCTAAGGAGGTTGTTTTTGCCAAGGAGGTTGTAAATTGGTTGTTAGTTAACAGTAAACAAATACTCAGAAATTGATGGGTGGATTTTGAAAAAAATTTCAAGATAGGTCAGAAATAGGATAACATAGAATTGATTAGATTTTGATGGTGATCCATTTATTACTCAGTTCATAAATATTTAGAATTAAGCTCCCTTGGCGGAGGTCTGCCTCTGAGTGCTTTTCTAGTAATGTATGTAATTCTCTTACTCTATTTGTGATCATGTCATATTGTTCATCAGTAGTTTCCATCATGTTTTTCATGCCTGGCATTCTTTCTTCCTCAGCTTGGTTTTCTGATGCTCACCACACACAGGCTACATGAAACTTAACCTGTTTGATTTTTTGCTGAAAAATACTTCTGAAATACATCTGCTTATGGCCCTGATCATCTTATTTAAATGAAGATGTTTGTAATATAAAATGAACACACATTTTGTTTCTTTTCTTCCAGGCTGAGGGCTGATGGTTCCAGTGGCTCATCCAGAAAAATAAGTGAAAGTGTCACTGAAAGAAATGGATCTAGCAGGTAAAATTGTCTCTGTTAAAATTAAAACACCGTTATCTTATGAAATTACATTTCTGATGTATCTGATGTCCTATATATAATTCCTTTGCAGTCTAAATAAAATGAAGTCATTTTGCTATAATTGTGCTGAAAGGATATTACTATTCCAGTTGCTACATATATTTGATATTGAGAAGATTAAGAATGTGTTAAACAATTACCATATGTTTTTCTTTCTCTTTAGATTGCGACCAGACAGTTCTATCAGGAAGAGCAGTGAAAGTGTCACAGAAAGAAACGGATCCAGCAGGTAAATAAGTGCATGAAAGAATGAGAAATTTGGTCCTATGATATTTATATTGATGAGATGATGATGTGTGTTCTTTAATGAATTCATCTGGAGCCATTATATCTATATGCTATTGTGTAATTGAGTCTCTGTCTAAAAGATACACGTCTTAGGATCAGAATCAGACATTTGGCCAAATTATTTTTACTTTTTTTGCATATGAAAGAATCCATATGCCTAATTTACTTTTACAAGAAATGTGATTTTAGGTATTTTTGATATGCCCAATGTATGTTGTAGCTCGTCTTTGCAATTGCTGCATTGCATTTTGGTAAATTGTGTTAGTAGTTCTTGATTGAGTATCCTCAGATTATGGTTGTGTTTTCAAAGATTGTGATTGTGTTTTCACAGATATTCAAGGCAAGGATCTACAGACAGTAAAGATTCAGACAAGGGGTCAGATCGCTACAACTGGAGGTCAAGGATAAAGGAATATTCCACAGAGCAAGATGGTGGGACAGGGACTGGGACAAGAAAAAACAGGTCCACAGTGACCCCACCAAAAGAAACATTATCTTCAAGACTTCGAGCTGCCAGAAATTCCAAGTCATCTTCAAAAACTGAAGAAAGTGCTGGACCAGAGAAACAGTCCAGTTTTCTAAGTTCTCGACGACGGCAAGCTGAATCGAGTAGAACGACAGGAAGCAGCAGTGCTGATGTTTCCAAGAGTTCTCGGGTTTCTCCGCCTTCTTCTGGCACCAGTGAGAGCTTGGGAGCTCGTTCTACACGAGCATCACGAGGAATATCGTCAAATCATGAGAAGTCAACAAAGACTCGTGTTGGATCTTCGCATTCTTCTGTTGACTCAACAAATGAGGATAGTAAAGAGAAGGTTTCCAGTACGTCATCGTCACAGAGGTTGTCTTCACAGCGGAATAAATCTAGGCCAGTTTCAGAAGTTGCTGAACAGAATGGACAGGTGACATCACTGAAAGATAATGCCAAGACTCAATCAAGAACAGCGACCACAACTAGACGTGACAGAATTAGCGACAGAAAATCTCAGGAGTCAGATTCTTCCTCTGATGTTGTAAAAAATGAAAACACTGTCATGACCAACTCTGAAAGCCGTACAGAGAGGAGGTCACGCTACAAAGACGAAGGTAAAAAGCCAGTTTCTGAGGACTCTGATTCTAAACAAACAGCAGTATCTTCAGTTAAACATGGCAGCAGCAAACCTCAGGAATCAAATTCTTCATCAGATGTTTCAAAAAATGAAAAGCCAACACTGACGGAAGCAGAAAAACCTACATACTTTGACACAGAGAGTCGAGCAGAGCGAATGTCTCGCTATAAAGAAGAACGTAGAAAGCAGCTGGCAGCTGTGTCTACAAAGTATGGACCAGAGACGACGTCTTCCAGTGAACCTGAGGCAGGTCTGCAACCTTCCTACCTGCGCTATTCTAAACGTTGGAAAAAAGACAAAGAAAAAGAGGAATCAAAAGAAGAAAAACCTGCAGAAAAGTCCACAGATAAAAGCGAGATCATTGCCCAAGAAGACACACCTGAAGACAAGCCTGATGAAAACCAGAATGTCAAGGTTTCAGTGTCCAGCGAAACTGACAGGTTTGTAAAAAGTGTTTGAGAGTAAAATCGTACATGTTTTGAAATTATTGAAGCTTGTTATTTTTTAGGTTGTTTGGGCTTCATTTTAATGCAGGGAGACAAAGTTTCTTGTTCCAACATGATCGTTTCATTTTCAGCCCAAACTTTGTTCCATTTTGAATATCTAAAATTTGTCAATTCCTAGATTATTTTTAAAAATTCATTTTTATACAGTCATCTTAACTAGAAAATGAAGTGTTATGTGAATAGAGAAATGAAAATTTTCTTCTGACAGATGTCTACTAATGTTTTAAGCAGGGGTGAAAACATAACCTCTTTGGCGGAGGTAATAAAAAATAAGAGAAAGAAAAAAATTCAGAAGTTCACTGATTAGGTAGGGATAATAACTGCATAAAGCATGTACAGTGACTTCTATATCACTTTGAACTTCCTTTAGGAAAGCTTGGCAAAAAATTATGAAACGAAATGTAAGGAATTTAATGAGTGGGCTTAGACATTTAACTGATGTGTCTAGCACTTAACGTACATCTTTTAAGACACTCAGGATAGGAATGTGAAATTAATGTTTAAAAAAAAAATTGAAGAATTCAACGAGTAGGCTGAAATATTTAGATGACTCACCTGCTAGCATCAAGCTGGTAGTGTGATTAATTGGAGAAAAATTATTTTCCATCTTTTTTTTATTTACCTAATAAAAGTCCTATGCATTAGGCAAAAACTAAATAAAGACCAGTGGGATACTGTATCTGAAACGAACTGCTGTACACTATTTTTAACCATGCAGAGATGTCAAAAGATATAAAAAGTCAGGTGAGATACAGGTGCACTAGCTAATTAAACCAGATCCCCACCTCTCTACTGCTGTGCCTATGTGATTAGGAAGCAAAGCACAGACTTGCTTCATACTTGCTACACACATAAGTGGTAGTTTATTACCCCCCCCCCCCCCAACCCAGGAGGTTTTGTTTTATTTATTTATTTATTTATTTATTTATTTATTTATTTATTTATTTATTTATTTATTTATTGGTTAATGGGCTAACTTAAAAAAAGTTATGGATGGATTTTGATAAAAATGTCAGGATAAGTCAGAAATGGGCTGACTTAGATTCTGGCAATTATCTATTAATTGATTAATTTACAACACTGAGAATTAAGCTCTCTCAGTTTTTTTTTTTTTTTTTTTTTTTTTCTTTTTAGTGAATTCCTTGTATTAAAATTGCTTTTATTTGCTTTCATTGAACATCGTTTGTTTGCTTTTATGATGTTATTTACAAGCTATAATGTTTTATTCCAAAACTGCAATAATGATAGAGGCTGGTGTACAATGTCATTTGGTAGGGTAAAAAATTGGATGACAATTCTGTACAATGAATATTTCAGTCAACTTTTTTTGGTTATCTTTAGTTATTTATTCTATAAAGCACAGCACATTTAACATCATGCTAAATTGCATGTACAAGATGAAAAAGGTGAAATATTGTTGGATGGGATTAGGGAGAGCACCTTTACCATCAGAATCTCCAGAATGTTTGTTAATTATGTTCTCCCGACTTCCCACTGTGGGTAGTTTTCTGCCTGTCTAAGCCTCTGAAATCTGCCTGTAAATACTAATGTTTGCTGCTCACTTACAGCACGGACTTCCCTTCACAAGGTTAATGGTAGTAACAAGCGGTGAACCACATCTACTGGGGGAGTTGTAATTAATCAGATGTGACTACCTGAATGTTACACCTGGATAAATAGGTGACAGGTAGCAGGGAACATGACACACGCGTCCATTGCCGAGGCAGAGATTTAGTTGCTTTTCTTTTTTTCTTGGCTTGGTGACTTTTTCTGCCTGCCTGCCTGTCTTTCTCACTTCAGGTAGCAACAGCACCGTATCCCATTTCAAGTGGGAGAACATTAAAAAGAAGTCGAGGCAAAACGCAGTTCTCCTAAAGCTTAGTTTGCTGTGTAAGCCCTCGCTGAGTTAACCCTCGCAGGCAGTTTACTATTAAACCAGCCAGCTAGGAGCAAAGTAGATGTTTATTAGTTGTGAATGTTAAAAGACTTGACCTGGGATTGCTAGCAGTGGATTTTTTCTCTGAAAATAACTTATGATGTGAGCACATGAGATACTAGCTGACTGTCTGCTAGCAGAAGAGGACTCGCAATGGGGCACTGGTAACTATGATTTCCTCTGGAGTAAAGGTTGGCAAGTTGATAGGAGACTAAATATGATGATTTGTAGCGAATGGTGGTATTTATAAAACAGAACAGACAAAAAATGAAACAGGAGTTGTGTGTGATTATTTAAGACCATCTTTCCTGATCATAATATATAGTTATTGATGGGCTTTACCTATATGTAAAAAATAATCATCATAGTTGACTTTAGAAAGTGATATACTGTTGTTCTATCATCAAGACTCTAACATGCAATGGTAGACATGATATTTATTCTTGATACTAACTGCAGCAATCAACCCAAAGGAGAAACATAATTATAAATCACTGTTGATAGTTGTTAAGAAAGACGTTGACATGTTAAGTTGACATCTTTATTCTTCACTTGGTTTAGATAGCCCCTATTGCTTACTATACACATGGTTCTGTTTTTATTTGGGGCCAGTTATTTGTAGCATTTGTATGTGGCAATGTCATACATGGTCTAGACCAATTTGTGCATGTAGGAAATGGGAATACCTTGAGCTTGATGCCAAGTGAGATCATAGTTTTGATTAGTTTACAAAAAGGACTTAATATTTTAGTTTAGTAGGAAATAAGTGAAAAGGTTCTGATTGCAGTTTAATGCTATGAGAGATTTATTTATTATTTTGATTTAATGAGTTTTTAAATATTTTGATTCATTTATTTATTGATTATTTTCATCATAGATTTTGCAAGGCAATTTGTTCTTGTTGTACCTAGATAGCTTCTCCTTTATTTCAACAGTCAAATGGTGAATGTTTTGGTTTGTGGTTAGTTATCGTGACAAAGTTGGTGTTATTTCATATCCAACTGCCTTTCTGTTTGTGCTTAGGTATATGTTCAGAAGCTTTAATGAGTTCAGTAAAAAGTTTTTATTTTGAAACTTTGGTGGCAACTAAAACGGGCATTGTTTCATGTTTGTGAACTGTAACAAGAAGTTTACATTTCACTTTGAATTTTTTTAATGTTCCATGATTTATCAAAAGTTCAAAGATGTTCAATTTCCCATAGGTTCAAAAAATAACATGTAGCAGATTGTGGATTTAAAAAAAAATTGTTTCATAAATCACTGTTAAAGATAAAAGATATTGAAAAAATATACGTAAAAAAAAATCCAACTTTTCAGTGTCAAATGTTAAACACAAGCTAATCCAGCAGGAGTTCTCTGCAGTTGCTGCTGCCAAATTGCACATAAAGCGACCACATGGAAAAATACACATGGTTCTACATGCTGAAAACCCTTTTCAAGTATTATACACAGGTTGACATGATGTGTGTTTGAGTTGGCATTGTGGAGTGTGCATTCATTCCAGTCAGTTTCTTTGCATGCTAAAAGTCATCTGAGAAGTTTTGAGAGTCTGATAGCTTCTAGTTTTTGACAACAGGGTTGGTAATAACTCGCTGAATTTGAACAAAGCTGAAAAATACTATTTTAGAAAATTTGTTTTTGCTTTCAGAAAAATATGGTGTGAAAATCTTGAAAAATCCTTAAGCTCTTGTCAAAAATTAATTTTTTTGTGATAAATTGAAAATACAAAAACTTGAAAATCAAGAAAAAAAATATTAGTAAGGAGTTTGAAAATTGTGATTAATTACCGTATCAGATGGGGTTGCCCTGCTTGTTGCAGGTTATATTCTATTACATCAATTTCTACCAAGAATGCCTGATGTTTGCTGATTACAGCTATTAACTGTCTTATCGGATTTAAATGTTATTTGAAAGAGTTGAGTAGAAGGTATGCCTAATCACGGCAGTATTTTATGTTAGGGTAATTTTTTTTCAGCTGGTTATTTTGCTGTAAAATCCTGGCTTCTGTTATCCTTGGTTACGGGGAAATGTTGAAACTGATTTGAAAACTAAAAAAGAAAGAAAAAAATGAAGACAGGGAAGCAGTTAGTATGTTTACTTATTTGAGTATATAGACGGTGGAGGGGGTGGGGGCACTTGTTATGAAATAATTCTGGAGCATCAAATTCATGTGGGCTTCACCAGTTTTTAATCCAGCCTCCGAGGAGAAGAATGAAGGTATGAAATTTTTGATACTGCTCTCCAGATACTGGTCATCAAGACACAAACAAGGCTGCTATGGAAGTACTGCCTAAAGTCCTATTCATAACTTGTAGATCAGATGAAAAACAGAAAATGACCTTTCCAGCCATGTAAATCGGGTTAAAAAGGATCACCATCTGTTTAGCTCCCATGTTAAGTAATCTGGCTGCCTGATGAAGTAAGATTGCCTATTTATGATCTAATTTAGACCTATTGTGAACGTGATCCACCCATGCTCATGGCTGCCTTTATGGACCTGTTGCTGTTCCTATACATGTAAACACAGCTGGACATTTGCAGTAATAACTCAGACTCCCTTTCACTGGGTTTTGTAGTTCTACCTATCAACCAGGCCAAGGGCATTTTTTCATTGTAGTCTATCATGTCAAACCACAGGTATCGCAGCAGTGCATATTTCTAGTTTTTCCAATTATTTCTTTTATGGGAAAGCATGCTAAGAAAAATGTTGTTTTGTAGTGTTCCTGTTATTCTTTAATATATAATATGTACATTAGCAATATGGCCACTCCCTTGACCTTATCAATATCAGTAGCAGTCATCAATTTGAGTTGATGTCATGTTAAAGGAGATCAGAATTTCAGTACAATATAAAAGTTAATTGTCATATAGAAATTGCCTTTTAAACTAAAACAGTATTTTTTGGGAGTCAACCAACATGACCTGTATTATTCTCCTTATAAACTGGTTCTTCATGAAAAAAATCTTTAAAGCCACTTTGAAGGGCAATATGTACAAGGAACATGTACAAGGCAACCCCAAGGCCAACAGCTGGCTGATGATTTTTTTTTTTTTTTTTTTTGATTTAATTATTATTTTTTAAAATATCTCAATGCGTACAAAATTTGCCAGTAAAAATATCTGTGATCATCTAGTGAAAAAAAAAAAGTGGCCCTGATAGGTAAATAATGGACTGTGTTAACTGTGTATATATCTCTGTCTTCCTCAAACCTTCAAGGACAACAGTTGGGTTCTTCCATTACATTACAACAAGGACTGTATTTTAGCAACTTAATCGATCCCGTTTTAATGGCAGTTGTATTGAGTTACTAAGTGGTAATAAGGTGTAATCTATCACTCTGATAGATAGGACTACACCCCAATACACAAACCTCCAAACATAAAAAAGATTTACAATAAAGTTCCCATTCACAAACTTTTAAATTTAAACCATCATAAGATTCCAAAGAAAGTGATCTGATTACAGACTTCAAATAAAACGTGTTCTCCATCACAGACACATTTTCTTTAATTGCACTGTTGTGCCTGTTTATATCCCATGGTTTTCTGATTAAGCAGGTGTCCGCTTGAAAATTTGCACATTGTGTAAATGCTTGTCTATGATGATATATTTCAAACCATGGAGGTCCTTCCATGACATGTAGTCTCTCCAGATTGTTCATGTGTTTTGTCCAGTGAACATTTCTGTCCTGTGGAGACTTATGATTAAACAGGTGACTGTTTACGCATGTGCACAATGCGAAAATGTGAAAATGTTCGTCAGTTGAGATATCGTTGTTGTTGTTGTTGTTGAAACCCTGAGAAGTCCTGTACTGGTGTACTGGCAGCCTGTGATGTATGAAATGTCAGCTTTCTGCTTGACTGGAGCTGAGAGAGGGAGGTTATATATATATATATATATATATATATATATATATATATATATATATATATATATATTTTTTTTTTGATGGATTATTTGAAGTGGCCAAATTTAGTATGAATAAATTAAACATTCATTTACTGTGATATGATACTGAGAAAAATTTTTTTAAAAGACTTTTGTTAATTGATGTGTATGAAGGGCGAAAGGATCTATTTGTATGGACATTTTAATCAACCCTGGAAATTTGATTTAGGAATACTGCAGATGTTTATTTAATATTAAAAAAATTAAATTTACAGGATTTATTTTTTACATGTCTCAAGAATTTCATTGTGTATAATATGGTTTAAATAGTCTGAACTAGACAAAACAAAACTGCAATGTTTAAATTTTCTTTTAACAGCATGAAAAGGTCTTATTGAAAGCGTGTCTAAGGAAGGAATTGATAAACCTTCATAGCTCTATATATTTTACCTTTTACTTGATAGAAAGGGGGAAAAATGAGAATATACCAGAGATACTGAGATTAACACCTGCTTCTACCTGATAATAGCAATATGTATTAAGAGCTGATTTAACAACCACCCCTTAAGGACATAATAAGTTTATGGTTGTATGAACTGGAGACTTGACATGAAATTAGTAGTTTTTTGGTCTTGGCACACATATTGTTCTGTCAAAAGCAGTTGATAATGTTTCATGAATATGTATTTTTGATTAACCCTTGTATGGTGCAAAGAGCTCTTTATGTGATTTATGCCTAGAAGTAACAGTGGGAATTCCATAGGGAAATATACTTAAGTTCTGAAGTCATGAGGCATAGTTTTATATAGCTTTTCATACTGTAAGAAATATTTGAGTATCTTTGTATTAGATATAGACTTATGCATAACAAGGACTGATACATTAAATGTCCTCTATTCCCAATATGTTTTTGAATAGTTATATCTTCCAAAAACTGATGTTCTCTTCTCCGCTTATATAAAGATATTATCTGTGTTTTACTTTTAATGAAAATGTAATATTTTCCTTCTTGCAGTTTAAGTACCAAAAGTGAAAAGGCTAAGCGTACAGCAGACTCCTTAGTTGAATCAAGAAAAGAAATCATAGGAAGACGCAGAGCAGACGACAAATCAAAATCTTTCATCCTTGAAACCCAAAATGATGACTATTCACACAAAAACCTTGACGAGGAAGATAGATTTGGAAAAGAGGAAACAAAAGTGGTGGGAAAACAAAAGAAAGATTCTGTTTCAGAAGACATCATCCAAAAATCTTCCATTTCTGATAAGACATCTCCCTTGCCAAGCCCTTCTGAGGAGAAAGGACAGATCTCTTCTTTCAGAAGTGGATCTATCGGGAGGAAGAAACCTGTGGACAGTGACGTGCCTTCTGCCTTGAATTCCAACAAGATGGCGCCAAGAGAGGAGCAAGTGATGGAGGAAGTCTCCTTACCATTCAAAAAGAGCACTGCCACAGACATACCCAGTTCATTTGACAAGACCTCTCCAGAGCAAGGTCCTGACAAAACCTCAAAGACAAGTTCTCTTGAGAGAAAAACAGATAAGAGCAAACCCTGGATGAGTTCTCTTGACAGACAGGCAGATAATGAGAGCAAGTCATCTCAAAATAAGAAAAGTGATGCACCAGTTAGGAAGTTGTCAACGGAAAGAGAAACAGAGAAAGATAGCGCCAAGTTTTGGTCTATTGGAAGAGAAGCAAAAAAAGAAAACATTGATATTTCTGGCAATAAACAAGCTATCACAAAGAGTGACAAAAAGTTGTCTGAGAGAAATTCTTCTGTAGAAGGTAGTAGAGAAAGTTTGAAGACAAAAGACACATCCGAAAAAAGCAATACATTTACTGACAATAAGAACCTTATTGAAACACACATAACTCCTAGAGCTGAGAGTGCTAAAAAGCTACTTGAAAAGAGCATCTCTGCAGATGGCAGAGACATTGTAAAAGAAAAAGACACTCATAGCATACCAGACACACAACATTCTACACCTGACAAAAAAGCCAGTGAGAAAGATGAGGTGGTTCCCAGTGCTACTTCACCCATAGATACTGGTAAAGAAAAGAAGACCAGGGATGCAGATGGCGTCCATCGGCATGTGAAGACCAGAAAGGACAAGAGTGAACAACGTAAATCAGAATTAAACAAGTCTGAAGACTCTGTTTCTGGTAAGTTTTTCTAATGTGTTGTCATAAAAGGAAATTTACTTGCCTATTGTCAATTTTTTATTTTAAAGTGCATTTTTTATTATACAGTCTTGGAAGATAATTCTTTAAGTAATGAATTCCCTTGTGAATCTGTTAAATGTCATACCCAGACTCAAGCCAATGGAACTGTCCATTGGAAAGGTGTTAATTTCCAAACCTCTAGGCATAAAAGCCATGGCTATGAGAAGTATTTTCACTCAATATTTTTGAGTCTGACCTTTCTTACAGATGGGTTAAGAAGTGTTGAAATCCCAGCACTTTGTGTGTGTGTGTGTGTGTGTGTGTGTGTGTGTGTGTGTGTGTGTGTGTGTGTGTGTGTGTGTGTGTGTGTGTGTGTGTGTGTGTGTGTGTGTGTGTGTAAAAGTGTGCATGAGTTTATGTGCATACACACATTAATTTTTTAGAGTTTTTTATCTTTCAATTTTTATGCTGTTACACTTCCTTTCATAGGTGTTATAAAGATATTTTTATCTCATATTACTGGCTAACTGATGCTTAAGTATTATGAATTTGTCAAAGAAGAAGTTTTTATTTAAAAATTGTGTGAGAACTTGGATCCCCTCCAGGTCCAAAGCTTGAGGTAAAGATTGAAATTGCAGATGTTAGTTTTTCTGTGTCGTGATGGTGCTTGAGGTTGCTGTTTTATTTCAACAAAATAGCCCAATCAAAAGTCAGCATTGTTTACTGAATAAAAAAAGGTGTGGATATCTGTTTGTTAATTTGGCATAACTTTTGCAAAAATGTGACTAAACTATGGTTAGCCAAATGGCAAGCAGGATAGCAAGGTCAGGTGGGGTAGAATGTGCCTATAGCAGACATGACACAGTTGCAGCAGGCTTAGGTTTTTTTTAAACCAGTGTGATTGCAGTTGTTGTGCTTCATTCACTTTGTACTCTGTACACAATGGTGACTCTCAGATATGAGTGAATGCTACCACTTGTAAAAAGTTCCACTGCTGAGATTTCTTTCAAATATTTGAATAAAAAGAATTTACTTTTGTTAATGCTAAGAAGAAAAAACGAGACATGGATTTAATTTTCAAAGACATAAAGATGTATTTCATGAAAGTTCTACATGTTTATCATCAGAGTGGACTTAGGTATTCAGTATTTAAGTTTAGACCAACTTTTCTCTTCAGACGTTCATTTAAGGTTGCTTCATGTCCTGTTGTATAAACCTGACTGGATTTCTCCTACTTCTGTTGTATAAACTTGAACTGTTTCACTAAGCTGTTCCAAGTTCTGTTATGTCACCTGTACCCCCCTTCCACAAAAAAAACAAAAAAACAAAACGTAAATGTTTTAAAAAACCATGATGTAAACCTGTTCCCCTGCATGGGTACCTGATGTACCAGGTGTGGTGGGTATAGACCTGATGTAAACCTGTTCCCCTGCGTGGGTACCTGATGTACCAGGTGTGGTGGATAGACCTGTCACCGTGCCAAGGTTATCTATGACAGCATTACCTGCCTTTAACACACTGGAGATAACAGTAGGAGGTCAGGCCAGGTCGGGTATGTTTTATACTTAATGGTACAAACTTTTGCTAGGTTTTGTAAATCGCAGGCGTAGGTACCAGGTAAATAGTCTGATAAAAGGTCACCAAGGTGTGTGATGTTGATACCATGTTGTTACTGTCAGCCACCATCCTGGCCCTGCATCAGTTACATCAGATGATGTAGACCACACAGGCTGCCGCAGAGGAAAGTCAGTTTTTTTTCTTGAAAGTCAGATTTTTTTCTAGTTGAATGTGATCAGTTATCCAGAATTAACACTATTTTTAAAAAAAGTTTTGTTTATTGTAGAGAGTATTCTGTTCTATTTTGAGTAACATGATAACCCACCAGTGATATCACTGTGATAAACTGTAATACTGGTGTCCCAAAAGTTTATTATTACACAAACTGTTATATTTTCCACATGGGACACTTCTACACCTCTCCCATGACTAATGGAGGTTTTTCACTCTACGGTGCATATATAGTCTACCAGGGGATCAGCTGAAAGATTTATGTTCTTAACCAGGGGAGCTTATCTCAGGTAGAAAGTGATGACAGGTAAGGATATTTTTGTTTCAAATTACGTCACCAAAGCCAGTCTAGTTAATTATCAGGTGCACTGCCTCAGTCTAACCAACAAGCGGACGGCCTGGATACCCTGACAGTTTTAACGCAGAGATTTACAAAACGGGCGGAGGTCGTTGGTTTCTAAGGTAAATCTTGAAGCTACTTTAACACACTTGGGTAATTGACAGTGTACTGGGGTAATTTATATGTCTATTTTGTGTCACTGTTGTCACAAGGTGTAGGTGTGATTTATTATGGCTCTCCACGGGACAGAAATAAAAGGTCTTATTGTCTGTTTGTTGGCGTGTCCTGTGTCAACATCTTGGACCTAACTGATACTTAACTTAGTCTTGAAGTATTGTTTTATCTCTTGACCGATACCAGGGTCTCAGGATGAAAGTTTGGTATGTGGTATGTATGTATTTATACACGTACATTTTTTTACTATAGAATGACTGTGAACAGGGAAGTGCCTTGTGGGTCCTTTTGTTAAAATCGTGACTTTGAAGAAGGTCAGGTCACAAATTCTTTAGACACAAAAGGAATATATAGTATTGCTGGGTATTTTTAGAGGTTAATTTAAGATTTTTTTACCTCTGTGTTTGGACACATGGGGAATGTATTAGGCACCCTGATGAGAGGAGCAGGAGCGGGGTTAGGATCACTGTGCCCATGTATATGTAAGTATAGTGTACAGTGAAGGTGCTGATCACACCCCTCGGATATCACAGTGTGTGTATGGTCCTTCTGTCTATTGCATCAAACAGTTAACTAGGAGGTTGGGCTTTACCTGCTTGTGGAAGGTATCACTATGGAAAATATGTTGATTTCTTTTGCATTGGAGATTTTGTTATTGATATCATTTACTAGGTCCTTGATTGGTTCTGTATAAAAATTAGTTATCGAGTTGAGCAGAAATAAAACAAGATGCAAGTGAACCCAGGAAGTCTTTTTCATATAATGGCAAGATTAAAGTGAAATATCATTTGGCCCAAGGTTAGACAATGGTAATAGTTTAAGATTAATGTTTTTGAAGAAAAAATCAAATTTATAAGGATGAAACTAAACTTTGAAAACTGTGATTTAGATTCATGATTTTGAAAAAAAAAAAAACCTAAAGAGATTAATTCAAAAATGAAACTAACATGATTTAATTTTGAGGAAAAAACATGTTGAGGAAAAAAACAAACGCATAAAAAAAGATATTACTCCAAAGATGAAAACCACTGATGACTATGTTTCTGATCAGGTTGATAGTTATCTCTCACCTCCCGTGATATTTGGCATTTATACCTTGTTTTTTGTTCCCCTTCCTACTTCTGGGTCAGTAATTTTGTGAGGAAAGAAACAGGAGTAGATGAGTTCCTGTAGAATAGTCTGTGGTTCTCCCTGCTCCTATTCCACAGTATGGTGTCTGCGGTTACAGGCTGTGTACACACATAAATATATATCATCTCTTTGTGACTGTCCTCAACAATAGGGAGGATGCACTTAACACCATTCAACGCAACAAAAACTCTCCTGTTGTTTGCAGTAGTAAGAGGCGGTAGTCGACTCAGTGAGCTTCATTGATGGGCTATTGTATTTTGGAGGTGGAACCAAGATGTGTATTTTGGGTCCGTAAGCATGGGAAATGCCTTTGTGGACAGAGATGTGACTGGGACGTGTGTTTATTAGCGGATTATGCAAGTGCGGTCAACTGACTTAGTTTTCCGTCCAAACACTACGTTTTGATTTACGTAGGAAAACATGCTTGTGAACTGAGGAATCTTTTTCGGGGGTATTATTATTCATGTGTAGCTGACTAAGTTGGGTTTCCAGTACTTAGTGTGCCGTACAAATACCAAGTGATGATTTGTGGCACAGCTTACCTGTGAGCCTGAATCATAACTGTTACAGCACTTTATCACAGATTTTGGAAATGCAACAGACTTTTTTTCTCCATCTTTTCCAAACAGTGGCTTTAGTTTTTGGAAATTGGTTATTAACCCAAGGACCATGTCCCATGGATTATGAAGGCATGTCGGACACTATTATAGCTACTGAAGTTGTGTTTTGTGATGGAGAATATTTCTTTATACAAAAATTCACAGAGGGTACAAGTGTAGCTGACTCAGCCTTTCTTTCCGGTATTATGAGGTATTAAGAACCACTTCATAGACTAAGAAAGAGAAACTGACTGACTCAATTAATTCTTGGATGCCGAGGTTAGGAGTTGTACCAAAGTGAGCCATACTCCTAAAAGATCAACTGGCTCACCTGTGGGGAAATCATCAGGATGAAAAGATCCTATGTTAGTAAATAAAATGGCATCACAGAAATAGACTTAGTCCAAGATACAGAAGATGGAGCTGGATAGAGTTGCATTAACCGTTGTTTGGACTTTTGTTTTGGCTATTTTGGGTGTTTTGGTTTGGTTTATGAAAGGTTAGTAGATGCACACACATGCATACAGGCATGTGCACACACACACACACACACACACACACACACACACACACACACACACACACACACACACACATGCACATACACAGCTATGTAGGTAGGCTTTATCCTGGTTAAATATACTATTACTGTAGGAGCATGAATATAGTATTGCAAAGTCTGTTAAGGGATATTATGCGAAAACTTAAACTGTGGAAATTTTAAGTCTTAAAAAGTCTTGTTAACTGTAATCATAATGATTCTAACAAACTTTGTCATCAAGAAGCAATATTTTATTGGAAATTTTTAAATCACAATCAGGGTCATCTAGTGACATGGGTGGGGATGAGGACACAGTCTTATGGAATGAGTCTCTGTCTTGGTAATAGAATATATGTACTTCAGACCCTTGTCATCATCCAAAATTTTTATATACTTTTTTCATAAGTTTTTTGCAAGATTCTTTAAC